CACATTCACACAACAGCGCCTATCACTCAGAACTTGGTACAACTGTCGGCCCCGAATAACTGACATATGAAGAAACATGAATCGGCCATTCTAGTCAGCTCCGCTCTGAACAGGTTGGCCCCGTCGGTCCGGAGTTCACAGCCCGGACGGGATTGTGAAAATGCTCGACTAATGCGCTCGAAGGAGAACAAAATTCCTATCTGGTGTTTTCCACGTGTATAGTTGGCTGAATGATTTGAGGATTGTGCATTCGGATGAATTCTGTGGGAGTCTCAGTCCATATCAATATAACTCATCTTACACTGTGACTGTGATTTGAATGCGATTAACTGGAGATCACGAAAGCACAGAACTGAGAATGTGATGTGTAACACACACACACACAAACAAGTACACACAGTGCCTCCCATGGTTTGTTTCCTACATATAAAAGTTGAACCGGAATCACTAGGATTTGTTTTAAAGAATTGTGCCCCTGACACTGTTTCTCAAGTTACCATTTTTGTATTCTGTAAATGTTATGAAACACTTGATTGTGAAATGGTATCCAAACGTACCCCGTTTTTCAACCACCTTGATTAAATTGAATTTTTGCCCAGCCCTTTCCTGTACGAGGCCTGGTTTTATCCCCTCTCTTTGATATAAACTTGCGTAAACTATTTAAAGATAACCAGGAAGAGAACTTATTTTCTTTAGTATTCAAGTATGAACAGTCTTAGTTGCATTTTTAATGCCCCTGCCCTGTAATAATGGCTGGATAGTCTCTCTTTCCCGTTCGACATATTTTGCTGACACACAAGTTATGTGCACACCTAAATCCCATATTCGCCTGTCTTTTGGGTTTTTCGGATTCGAGAGAAATCGATTACGTTCCGCTATTTTCCTTTCGCATTCTGAGGACTGACAATAGAAATCACCTGTTACGAGGTATCCGTTTTCCCAGTATATTGTCCAAGTGAGTTGAGAGCGAATATCAACGCTGTCACTCTCAGTGTCGTATTCGGCCCCCAGCCACCGGCCTGTTCCATCCTCATGGTCACAAAGCGTTTGCGATTTCAAGCGATTCTCCAAATCTGATATGCATGAACTAGAATCGTACTTGTTTCTATGCCGCAGACCCGGTTGGTTTACAACTGGCACTTTTCAAATTGGAAAACACTTCCCTTAGTGGGACAATCATCTCAACTACGATTGGACCATACCGCCTTTGCCCTACTTCAGACGGTTTTGGGCCAGTCACAATTCTGGAGATTCCAAAGGCAGTCCAATTTATGTGATCTGTAAACGTTTGATATCATAACTCTGAGCTCTACTGTCTTGAAGTTGGTTGAAAGGTCCTTTTTAAACGGTTACATTAGTCCTTGCCACCCCTCAACAATCCAATCCAGTTTGTATTGCAAGCCAAACGGAGCTGCTTTAAAGGAGGTCTTCATATTAATCATTTGATCCCCAAGTCTTTGAATGACCATGTCCAATCATTTCCAGTGTGGTTTCTTTGGCCATTCCACAGCATCTGACCCCGTTTGTTCATTGACGCCTCGAGTATAACGTGAATTTCTTGAATACCTGATGCAACTATCAAGTGAAGGAGCGAAACCCAGTTTAATGGAAACCCCAATTGAGCAACTCCAGTCTGTTTAGTGGATCTCTGCCGTCCCATACCGTTTTCCGCATACCTTCCTGTCATGGCTTTGATTCCTACCTTACGTGTTATGAAGTACAGTTATATTATTTTATTGTGAAAACCCATTTGTTCTCCATCCGAACTACGTTCCTTCAGAAATAGTGCTTCTCAATTTAAGTTTCACTTCTTGCAATCGGATATNTATCGTATATAAGGAGGACGGTCTGGTCAACTACCTAATTGCCGAGTGGATAGTATGCCTGCGTTCTGTCTGTGAGATCTGGGTTCAATCTTTAGTTGGACAGATGAATTGATTCACACCGCTGATGAGATCAAAACAGGTCGAAACAGCAGTCCAGTGCTTCGTAGGCTTTCAGCTCAAGATCAGTTCCTCCACTTCTCGTATAGAAAGCATATTTATTTTGTGTTTAAGTATTTTTCACATTAAGCCTTGCTCACAGATCTCACAGTGTTAACTTATAATTGTTGACCCTGAGTGGACTCTACTGACTCAAAATAGAAAATAAGCTTCGTTAACCAGCCTTTATTCGTACCGGTTTTGATAAACTGTACCCTCGATGAGCACAGATTTGAAATCTCAGACAGGTTCGCGCTTCAGGGCTATTTATTTATTCATTTCCCCGACCTACATTTTCAGCATTCCTGTTAATTTCCCCTGGCATAGCTAAATAAGGAATTCAACGTATCATCCCTTCTTACCCTGTGATCCAATGAATTATTAGTTGGTGCGTTCTCAGTTTCTCTAAATGAGTAAATGGTGAACATTTACGAACATCAATTTCCTAAGAGGAATCACTCTGTAGGCTCGTTGATCTGGAAAGTTGTTTTCATTCATCTCGTGTAGTATGTTCAACGTCGAGACTGACGAGTGTAGCTTTGTAATCTGTTAAACATTCACTTCCCTCAAAGGACACTCCCACCGATCTCACTGGAACAACCCCAGGAGACATGCGTTCCTGTGGTGACCTATTGTTTTGTATACCGTCTAAATGAGTGAACAGGCTCAGAAGTTTTCAGTCGAGTGTTTGTTTTGTTCTCCGTGTGCAATAGGGATTTAGTAATAAATTGAGCGAAATTCAATCGGCATAGTTTTATGTTCTAACACCAGTATGATCTATGAAAGAGGTATAATTGCGATTTAACCTGTACATTAAGCTTACCAATCCCCATCCTTCCATCGATTTGAAATTTGATTCACCTAACTTGAAAAAAACAGTGACAGTTTCACTCTACTATACAGTTTGTGGTTGTGACCGGGCCGGTAGTGTGTGTGTGTGTGCGTGTGTGTGTGTGAATGGAGTAGTGATTACCTGCTGCGATTCCTGTTGTCCTCCCACACCGCCTGTCCCATTCACCGGTCACTGAACTTGACTGAAATAGGCTCAATTATCTGACTTTCAGGTGGGGGAAATCATGTGATCCTTCCAGGCATGCTGTTCATTACGCCAATTGTTCAGCTTTGTTTCAACAATCTCCACAATGTTTCCCCGGGAGGGAAATTGATCGATTCACAGCAAACCAGTCATTGATCATTTTGTGCTGTTTATTACTTAACGAGGTGTTTATTCAGGATGTGCAGGGCAAGCGCACTTTACAACTGACATACATCAGAGTTTGAAGCAATGTAAAACTACTTTCAACCGGGAACCCACACAAAAATTTAAACGATAGCTTATTGAGAACAAAATCATTCATTTTAAATATTTTAAACGGCTAAGTGCTAACTGCTGTTGAAACCAAGATGTACTTTATGCCAATTGATCTGATTTCGTCAGTTGCTTTTGACAACAAAATACGGGATGGTGTAATTTGAGTAATAACATCTTGCTGTTTGCCAAGATTTCTAGTTTATAATTACTCACCATAGACGGTGAATGTTTGAATTAGCCTTTTCCGTTTCTTGACAGGTATCATGCGCTGTTGATGATCTTCGATTTGGGATTCACTCCTTGGGAGATCGTTAAGTACCAACGGGGTAAATGCATTTAAATGCAATGGGAATGTTTATGATGGCCGACACAGAGCCTTGGACAGTTGTTCCGTTCTGTTTAGGACTCGTCAACAGTGCGTATTTTTCTGTGTCCCTGTCAGGATTCGAACCGCGGATATTCCGATTGGGACATCGAAAAATTACCCCTGATCTACACAGTCAACGGTTATCATCTTGTGCGAATGGCTTAATCAATTTAGACGATGAATGGTTGGATTAGCCCATTCGGTGTTCTTTCACGTGTACCAAGCAATGATAATGATCTCCGGAATGAACTATGCTTGAATATCATGAGGTGTTTCGCAATCTATAACCCCGAGTTTTTCTGATTTGTCCACCTAACTATCTGTTGTTGGGTGTATCGTTAACCTCACTAACCGGTTTGAAAGATGTTTGACCATTCTTTATCTAACTGAAGGTTGGTCCTACTCTCTGTGTGTCACCGCAGTTGCAGTTGAGCGGGGTAAAACTATCAACGAGGGCGATAAAAATTTAATGGAAACCAAGCCGAACCATTCAAGGTCCCCTGTAATTGTCGGAGTCAATGTAATGAGTGTCAGAACGTTTTTTCTACCTTCTGGATATTTCGCTCACAGGGGAGTTGAAAATGTATGAATTGTTTCGTGGGTTTGTGAAAATTGCAAGGAAGCAATTTATATTCTTCGGTATTCTTTGTTTACTTGACATTCATCTTCTATTATTTGCAGTTTTTTCCAAAGTGAGTGAGTTGATTTTCATTCGGTTTGTGATTATGTAACTCAGAATCAGCAGATTGGATTTTTCGACCATTTAGAAAGTACAGTAATGCACTGTAGCAAGGTACCGAGGAAAGATGAACTCTATGATTTCACAAACGTCAAATATTGAAAATAAGATAGAATATATTAGTTGCTTTCGTAATATTCCGTTGAGTGTCTTTTCCCTTGCATGCTTCACAGTATCCCCTAGGGTTTGTTTTCGACAAATCTCTTCCTTGCAAAAACTCATCTTTTTCCCTTGTCGAAAATAGCTTTGTACAGTGTTGCATTCAATGAAAAAAAACGGTATAATTAAAGAAATCAGAAAGTTGTAAAATACAGCAGTGAAGGGAATCGGTTGACTGAATCATTGCTGGATTCCTTGGAAATCCTCGTTCACGCTTTTTTGCATCCGTCAAAACTACGTGTCGACGAAGGTTGTGGTCGGTGGAGTACCATCCGCATGCAGGATGATAATCTCCAGCCTCCCAAAGCATCAGTATGGTCGGGGTGGGTGTCTGGAATTGTGACTGGTCAACATTCCCTTACAACCAGAACAATACCCCTATATGACCAAGCGTCTTGAATAGCCTTTGCTGAGGAAGCCCTAGTCACTGCCGTCCCGTGGCTAAGGTGTCTTGCTACCAATGTGAGGGGACGAAAAGGCAATATTCGGGGCAACAACCCGATGGGTGGAATTAGTCAAAAACCCTGATAAAAAATGAAGTAATAAGAGGCATACGAACTACACGTACACCTTTCTGGTCACGGTAATAGTTACTGCCTTATTTGGGCACCTTAGACATTTGACCCCGTCCAAAGGGCGTATGATCCAATGAACTGGGCACCGGTCCCCAATGGACTACGGACTCTGAGGTCCATCTTGTTGTCTTACAGGTCCGGCTTTCTAGTCAAAGCCTTTGGGTGGGGACCCTGAGTTTATCCTGCTTCTTGGACAGGGCAACCGGGAAGTAACATGCCCACACAACCTATGGACACATTCTTCAGATTTCTTTTTGTTCATATGTTGCGGCATATTTGCTAGTTCTCGGTGATTGGTTATGTGTAGAAATAAATAAATAAACGGTTATAACCTCCGCACATTATCAGCAAGATGCATAAGTTGGCAAGACCCAACACGAATTAATTGACAAAGCGTCTGTCTAAGTTAAATACATTACTCACTGACTCATTGTTCACCACAAACGATGTGGATCGCAGACATACAAGGGACCACCAGATTCCAGGCAGTATGAGGACTTCACTGTGTTCGCTGGGTCCTCAAATTCCTATTCAACTACAGCGCTGTAACTCAGACCGATCTTGCGGAGGTGATTGTTTGTGGACGTTTCGATGAGCATGAGCAATTAACTGAACTTTTCTTTACGGATAGTGACCATTGTTTTTCGATGAAATCCTATTCCCATACCTAATTGCAAATCCCGTTTATCCACACACTGGAACCGTTCTCATCTCCATCGATTGCACATTTCAGTGGATCGCAAACACAAAATACCCGGTCTGCGCCTGAAAGTTCACGTTTCACGACGGCCTCATCACTTCCGCTCTTCATCCGTTTTATTTCCTCAGCTCATTGTATTTGAGAATCGGTAGTGTCAAACTGTTTATAACTCTTTTCATTTTTATATCCTTCTATTGAATAGACAATGATACAATTTTCAGGAAATAGAAATCAGCCAATCACAGGGATGCCATACAACACATATGACAGCCAAAGTCAGGCGTTGGTAGTGGGATTCAAACACACATGCTGTCCTGGGTGGGATAGGTTTGTGACCCGCATCACCGGATCACCACCGCACACTTCATTTCAGGTGAAATGCTTTTAGTCGTTATCAGTCTTGTTGAGTTAGATAAATATGTATAAATGATGAAAGTAGAATGATCTTTCACACCTTTTTCTTTCCCAATTATAATCCAGTGAGGAGCAGAAAACTATATGCACAAGAATTCCTGGGTGCTCGATCAAGTCTTTGCTTTCTTGCCACCGAGAACCAGATAATAGTGAAGCGGTCAATGAATAATTAATTAAAAGGTCATGCACATGCAGCAACAACAATAAACGGCTATCCTAACGATAATACGCGTTCCTAGTGGATATTTTCATTACAATTAACAATGGACTACAATTAGTTACAGACTGAACAAGACGTACTACTTACTGTCTTATTCAACCAGAGTATGAACTGATTTCGTTGTGTGACGGAGTTTTAAATTGGTTAAAACGGGATCTCTGTAACCGAGGCATATTTGAAATTACTAACCAGTGAGAGCATAAAGTCTACTGTATTAAAAAAGAAAGTATTTGAGGTGATGGATCAGATAAACGCATAACTGCGTTTCTGCCCCATTCAGAGGAGACATCACCTTGGGATTCGTTAGCCGAAGAATCAAGTTAACCGTGAGACCCGACGACCAATTCATTGTCGAATCGCGCGTTTATTTTCTTCAGCTTAAAGTTCTCTTCTGTTCTCGGTAGGCAACATACAGACCAGCTATGAACATAACTTAGCCTTGAAAATTATATCAATTCCCTTGGGGCAAATCACATTTGTTTGATTGCACCCCAGAACAAGATCCGAGTTGTTATAATCGAGGAACAGCCAGCGCCTGAAATCATTCGCCGAATCAATCTCAGCCAAGCAATTTGTGCTCCGTTTTCCATTCGTGTTATTTCTTCATTAAGTTTTTCTAGGACCGGAAACGCGTGGTCGTGTGACGTCATGCCGATTCACTTAGGCTAAATGAATTATAAAATCAACTGACACGAGTAACTCCCGTGATATATGGTTTACATGAAGGGACTATCCCATAAATTATTGAATTCTTCGCATTCAGAAGCTGACCCTTGTGGATTACAAGAGATACAGGAAGCCAATTGAGTCAAATCATCTGTTTAAGGAAGTTCTGCCTGAGTAGGAGCGCGATTTGGTATTTTCAGCCAAGAACAAACGGCTTAGCTATGGTCTGACTAGGTTAGATTTCAATCTGAAATGACAACAATAATATTAGGTTCTCTACAGATTGCTGTGGACGGCAGAATTTATCTTGGCTGAACACACGTCACTCGTGTTTACGACTTGTGGCGTAAGTCACTCGAGTGATTAATTTGGGTGCTTTTCATCACAAAACATATACAAAAATCCTCTTATCCCACTGCTACAAATTTGCTGTCCGGAGGCAACATCTACGTCTGGGCCAGAATCGATTAAAAGATTCGGAGGCTTTGAAACTGGGTTAAATGAGAAGTATTATAGATGTGCTTATTTCTGGGGGGTTCATAGAGAGAGAAAGGTTAGGAAATACTGAATATAACAGTATTTGAGGAAAGATGATTGTTGTGTCGGAAAAATGAAGCAGATCAACGTTGTATTTTATCCTTAAGTCCTCTGTACGATTAACACCAAAATCAGAACATGCTCAGCCCGAAGTGAATACAACTAACAGTTAATGAACTCGGTGGAGTCAATGGCCAATGTGAATCCTTTAAAGCAATACGAAAAAGTAATTTCATTTTACTTCACGGTGGCAAGTGTGCTCAGAAGAAAATGTTTCTCCGTAGGTCACCAACTAATTTTAGCCTATTCAAAAACAAATCAATTTCACGGACGACTTTATCCAAACTGGCTCGACGAGTTAAGGAGTTGATTCAATACGGTTCCAAGAACTCTTTTCCAGTTTGTTATCATGGATTAGAGGAAATCAATATTTTCAACATGATTATCTGAGACTCAAAGGTGAATTCTTCGTGACAATAGCAAATAAAGCGTGAACTGAAAAGCTAGGAAGCAGAGGACAGCTGTTTCGACCTGGTTGGGTCTCATCAGCATTGCGAATCCATCGACCCAACTGGGGATCGAACCCGGGACCTCATGGGCAGAACGTAAGCATGCTATCCACTCGGCCACCGGGCAGCTGATCAATAGCAGATCCCCAGTAGGGTTGATGGATTCGCAATGCTGATGAGACCCAACCAGGTCGAAACAGCTGTCCAGTGCTTCCTAGCTTTTCAGTTTACGCTTTATTTGCTATTGTCACGATGAATTCACCTTTGAAATGGAATCAAATCCTTCATTCTCACTTGAGATTATCTGAGTCTGCTGTTTACCGTTATGCCGCATGCCAACGGATGTTTTTTTAATGCACCTATATGTTCGGTATCAAGGCGGACAAAGGAAAATAAAAGAAGATTTTGGAAAGCACACAGAGTTAGGTGTTATCAAAGATCACTATCCAATGTGTATCGTTCAACTCTCTTCCCCAAGGTTTCCCGTATACAACTCCCTGTGCGTTAGGACTTACCATGACCAGGCAACTGGTACACGTAACCCACAATGGTCAAGCCCAAGCCACCGTCTTTCGGTCGGTGCAATGTGACCCGCAATGTTTCAACTTCGCAGGTTTCACGTGAACCGTCCGGGCCTGGTTCGTCTCCGTTTCCACTTTGTGACTCATCCTCGTCCGCGAGAAGTGGCGAAAACGGACGACTCACTCCGGAACCAGCGGGATCTGATTGGATAGGGTAACAATGCTTTTTACTCCGCTGCTTGATTCCGGTTTGGTGTTGAAATGTACCATATAATGCAGTTAAGTTGATATATCAAAATATCAAGGATAACCATACCTGGTGTTAGCAAACTATTCCAGTAATGCAGAACACCTATGAAGTGCGGATGACCGGGTTAGAAAAATATAAACGGTACTCTGTTGTAAAATGTTTCAAGTGATTACAATTCGTAGAATAAATTTTTAAAACCGTGTACAGCTCACAAATCATATGGATCGCTAAACTCGGCCTATAAGAATGAAACTCAGTCGATGGTACAGGAGTGCGATAATTATCTACGGCCACCAATGTCCTTAAAAGTAGCAGCCATAGAGTGTTTATCGTTTGTAACCTGCCTTTGGAGATAAGATGCTTTGAAGAAGCATCGTGTTTGAGTAGTTTGCTCAATTCAAGCTTTCTAGGCGAACCCTGGGTGATGGGATACGGTGTAGTGGAACGGTGNTCGGATTCAATGCATCTTATCCTATACGACGAGTTCGGTTTAAGGTTTGCGCAAGTTGGGCACCCTATCAGCTCAGTGAGAAACAGATAGCATTTCGGATGAATTGATGCCGCGGCACGATTGCCAGGTTTGATGTTGGAGGTTCCAATGCACTTTGGGAGGTCATCAGCGGTGATGAGATCAGAGCGTACAGTTTCGATCTAAAAACCATGCCAAAATCGGCTCAATGGACGCCGGTTGGTAGAGCACCACTTCAGAAATTCCGACTTGAGTGCAGTATGGCAAAGCAGATGGTGTCTGTGTTCATGGACAAAAACCGGAATGTGGTTACTGTAATGATTATACAGCAAGGCACAATCATCTTGGGACTGATACGCCATCCACTGTCTTCCAAAACAGCTGGAAGCTATTGATAGGCGTCGTCCAAGGATTCAAGCACGAAGACCTTGCTGCAACATGACATTGCACCTGCAAACAGGTCCCAGCGATTTTCTGGCAGAAGAACGCATCCAGGAGGTCAGTCACACACTACAGTCGATGCCTGGATCCGTGTGATGTTTTGTGTACCCAAGTGTCAGGTGCATAACGCGTGGAATCCGATACAAGTCGTGAACAGTTGCAGTGAAGGACTTCATTAAACTGGTCGCAGAATTACCTGCTTTGGTAGCATCGATCTGTTTCATCAAACGATTATATGTGTATGGCAAAGTGCAAACGCTGGTGGAGAACATTTCAGGTAGATGTAATGCCTATTTTGCGTAACAAGTAAAACGTTTTGCTGAGCCCTCGTATTTCTTGATATTATTTAGAAAATTAAAACAAATGAAAAATTGTTTCCCCCACATCAATTCGCCATACATCTCATCGATAGTGTGCCCCGGTGGAANTAATATGACCTAAAAGTGATTACGTAGGATGACCAAATTTGCAACAATCAATGCGACCGTCAAAATGGATCGACAGAGATGCATCCGAACTGAAGTAATATAAAATAAATAAAAAAAAATAAAAAAATAAGAAAATAAAATTAAAAAAAAATAAAAATAACTTCAAGCAGCACAAATCATGGATAACAGTCCACGGGCCACAACCAATAGTTTCTGCTGCAAATGTTCTGGGTGGTAAAAATGAGGAATAGACGAATACAACTGATCAAGTTGTGTGCAGAATTACTGTGGATGTGAATTTACAGGTCAATTGATTTGAATAGTCGGAAAGAAAACATTCATTCATACGTGTTTGGAGATGCAAGCAGTTAGTAGTAATTTGTCAAAAATCATGAACTCAGAGGAATTAAGGCGGTCGCCAAATTTCTAAAACAAATACTTCTCCTTTTTTAATTTTACCCCATTTATTTGAATTGAGTTAGAAAACCAAACCATAGTCTACCATCCACGGATGTTGTTTGTGGAAGAGTTCCCTTTAAATCGCTTTAATCCTCTTTGGTTTAGGCAAGGGACTTTTGTCTTACGAGAATGGAAGTTTGGGAGTTTAAACGATGGTTGATAACATTTGACGGAGTTATGGGAAAATTCGATAGGGGAGATAACTCAGCAAGATAAAGTGGCAATAAAGTTAGACCTACGGTTCTGTGACAAACTGACACAGATCCTGTGGGACTCATAAGTGCGGGGAAATCGATGTTTCAAACAGAACTGATAATCTAAAACACAAAACGCGTCTCCGACATATCTGCTCTCAGCGTTTCGCTGTAAAATAAAATATGCAATTATTGCGAGTGAGGATGTTGGTGAATCGTATCTCGCTATCAAAAGATGCAGTGTTTGTGAAGGTTTTTTTTGTAATAAACTGATTTTCCTCGATGAATGACATATCAATCGCCAACAGTGCCAGATAAAGACTGTATGACAGAGGAAATATTGGGAATAAACTAAACAATAAACACTTATCCTTACCCTAAAATAAAATCCAGATCAAGTCGAACTAAGCTTTATGCACCCGAAGGTTGGATGTCGTGTGATTTTCACTAGGATGCGGTAGAAACGGAGGAAATACTACGCAAAAGATTGTGAGGGGGGCAAGGTAAGTACCATTAGAGCACACACATCTCCAGCGAGAACACGATAGAAATAGTTTAAACTGGCAATAAATAACCTAACTGATGAAATGCTCCCCAAGACCTGCAATAACTGGTATCCGGTTAACTGAAAAACGAGCAAGGAATGGGATGATGCATGTGGGTAGGAGTTTATAAGGGGACCATGTACGGATTTAAGAGGTTTGTTATGAAATCAGTGCTCTTCATTGATCCCGATCGTATCAACAATCTTTTCCAATGTGTCAATATGTTTGTACACTAAAATCTACCTGGAAATTTCTGATCATGCCAGTATATCATTTCATTTTGAAGAAGAAAGAAATACAGAGGATTAGTAGAGGATTGTACTTGATTACGCAGTTATTTTTGAGTTACAGAAATACAACAAAACATTAAACGAAGTTGATAAGAGAATTTAGCTGGCACTATTTCAATTTCATCATAAACTTTCATCAAAAGTACAAAGTACTGTTGCACATAGCTAGGGTTCGTATTCGGGACCACAGAGGTATAACCAAGGTATACGACTCACGTGACTAACAG